TTATTCTGTTCCAGAGGAAATGAGACGGGGATCCGTGATTGGAAGACTCACGCATGATCTGGGGCTCGATATTAAACAACTGTCATCTCGTAGGGTCCGGTTAGATTTTCAGGATAACAGACGGTACTGTGAGATCAAACTGGACACTGGTGAATTAATCATTAATGACAGAATAGACAGGGAAGAGCTCTGTGGCCAAAGGACTTCTTGTGCTTTAACCTTTGATTTATTCCTTGAGAATCCATTTGAATTACACCGGATTGTGGTGGAAGTGCAGGATATTAACGACAACTCACCGGCATTTCCTAATGGTTTTATAAAGCTGGAGATAACGGAAAATGCAGGCAGAGGAGCTCGATTCTCAGTTGATGAGGCCCACGACCCGGACATAGGAATCAATTCGGTGAACAGCTACGCGCTGGCCGCAAATGACCATTTTGTTCTGGCTGTACACACGAGCGCGGACAGGGGTAAATACTGTGAGATAGTATTGGAAAACGAACTGGATCGTGAAAAGCAGGCAGAGCTTTCCTTAACCCTGACTGCATACGATGGGGGCACACCACAGCGCTCTGGTACTGCAGTTATCCAAGTCACCGTGCTAGACGCCAATGACAATGCGCCCGTGTTTACGCAGGCCGTCTATAAAGTCAGTCTGGATGAAAACGCTCCCTTGGATACAGTTGTAGTCCAAGTAACTGCAAACGATGAAGACGAGGGCCCATATGGTGAGGTAACATATGAAATTAGCCATATTTCAGGAAAAGACAAAACTTTGTTTGGTATAGATCCGATTAGCGGTGAAATTAAAGTGACGGGGCCTTTAGATTTTGAGGAATCTTCCTTTTATGAAATCCGTATCAAAGCCAAAGATGGAGCTGGTCAGGAAGCTCGATGTAAAGTTCTTTTAGAAATTAGTGATGTAAACGATAATGCTCCCCTAATATTTATTAAATCTTTGAATACACCTGTTGCTGAAAACTCTCCACCGGGCACAGAGGTTGCGATTATAAACATCCAAGACAAAGACTCTGAGGTGAACGGCAGAGTTCGGTGTTCGGTTAAGCAAAAAGTGCCTTTCAAATTAGTGCCTTCAGTGAAAGATTACTACTCCTTGGTGACGGAAGGAGACCTCGACCGAGAGGTCGTGTCAGAATACAACATCACAATTGTTGTCACTGACGAGGGTTCACCCCCCCTTTCAGCTTCTCAAAACCTACAAATTACAGTTTCAGATGTGAATGACAATCCTCCACAATTTGATCGGCGATCATACAGCGCCTTTGTTAGTGAAAATAACACTCCTGGTTCTTCAATTTGTTCTGTTATGGCAAAAGACAGCGACTGGAAACAAAACGGTACTGTCTCGTATTTCTTGTTGCCTAGCGAGCTGAATGGAGTGCCGATATTCTCGTTTGTATCTATTAATCGAGACACTGGGGTGATACATGCGCTCAGATCATTTGATTATGAGCAGTTCAGAGACTTCAAATTGCAGGTTATAGCCAAAGACAACGGCTCTCCACAGCTCAGTAACAACGTAACTGTGAGTATTTTCATAACAGATCAGAATGATAATTCTCCCCAGATTTTGTATCCTGTTCAATCAGGGAAAACTTCTGTTACCGAGATGGTGCCCAGATTTGCTCACGCCAGGACTTTGGTTTCCAAAGTAATAGCCGTGGATGCTGACTCTGGACAAAACGCGTGGCTCTCATATCAGATAGTGAAGTCGACAGATCCGGGACTTTTCACTATTGGTCTCCACAATGGAGAAATCAGGACACAGCGGGACATTTCGGACTCTGATAAAATGAAGCAAAACCTTGTGGTCTTGGTGAAGGACAATGGAAAACCGTCTCTGTCTTCGACGTGTGCTGTGAATTTACTTATTTCTGATAGTATTTTGGATTATACATCAGAAATGAAAGGCTCCAGTACAGAATCCGACAAAAATTCAAACACCACCATGTATCTGGTGATCGCATTAGCTGCAGTTTCTTTCCTTTTTTTGGCGTTCATTACAATTCTTCTGGCAGTCAGGTTTTGCCGAGATGGAAAGCCCAAGATCTTGTTCGATGATACCGTTACAATTCCCGGTGTGTGTTTTCCACCCAACTACGCAGACATCGAGGGCTCTGGAACTCTGCGCAATTCTTTCAACTACGACGCTTTCTTAACAACCGGTTCCGCCACAAGCGACTTCAGATTTATCAGGTCCTACAATGAGAACACTTTGCCGGCTGACCAGTTGAGTAAGGCCACACCTAAAGCTCAGGAAGAAAAACCTGAGAAAGAAGTCGAAGATTCATCTCAGGTATTTATCCCTTTTAATGTTTTTTTTTAAGGCTACATTTTATATTTTTCAACAGATGTGGTCAAGTACTAGTGAGAAAAGATATTTTTTTTTGTTCTGTGATGGAATTAAGAGTCCTCTGGAAGTAACGGGGAAATTATTTTTTCTTCCTGGTGGTTCTATGTTTCTAGCGTATTTTACGTGATGGAATTGGAACACAACTGTGCACAATAACATGATCATTTTTACCGCCTTTTCTGAGGCGTGTTTGAAGGTTCTGCGTGAGACAAGATAGCTTCTTTGTACTGATGTGTGTGCAGCGCGTGTCATGAAAATTCATCACTTGATGCTGGCATGTTAGTGTCATTTTTCTATTGCATTTGAGTGATGCTGCTGTGAACACAATGAAGAAGCTGTCCAAACGCTATCTAGCAGTGAGGAATTGAAACCCTTCTAGTAAAGCTGGGGAAAGATTAAGGACAGAAGGATAACAGGAAGGCCGCCTGACTTAGGAAAATGCATAATATACAGAGGGCAGTTGAAATACATCTAATAGGGATACTCTTTCAAAAATATACAATTCAATATGATTCATGGTGGAAACATCTATATATATGATTGATTTTCTTTCTTTTTCACGCATGTATGATTCTGCTTATAAAGCCGATGTATCAATATATGTTGAATACTGACCCTAATGTGTGTGTGTGTATATGTATATAACTTAAAGAAGATGAGTGAGCAAGTGTGTAACCATGCCCTTAACATACAGAAAAGACAAAAGTTTAATTCTGAGTGTCTTCTTCATTAGTTCTGGTTACCAGCGTGGCATTAACCTAGTTCTCTAGGGGTAAACTTATATATACAGTATACATATAATATTCACTGATTTATCAATTGTTAAGACAAATAACAAAAATGAATCAGTCCAGTTGTATAGCACATTTCCGTCATCAATACCCTGCGCTATAACCATATGTGAGGAAAGAGGAAATGAACAAAATTAAATGATGAACAATTTTCTAGCAAAACTCAGTGTGTCGCTATTCACCACACAGGGGTTTGCACTCCTTCCTGCTCCCACTGCATTTGTGTTTAAAATCACTCGGCTGGCCGCTGCTCATTTCTTTTCAAGTTTCTTCGGCTTTGACTTGATTTCTTGTTTGAGGTTTTTTATATAGTTTTCCCTCCACGTCGAAAGGATTTTCACAGGAATATCGGCTGTGGATACAGGAACGGGAGAATAAGACAGGCATTTATCCAGCTCGTCAATAAACGGGGATGGAATACAAAGGCGTTTCTAAATCATGGCAGGTACATTGTTTCTACTTCTTCATTGTCATCTTTGGCGTGTGTTTAGGCGATATTCATTACTCAGTTCCAGAGGAAATGAAAAGAGGGTCTGTTATCGGAAAACTTACGCAAGATCTGGGGCTGGATATTAAACAGCTATCAGCCCGTAAAGCCAGAATACATTTACAGGACAGCACACGGTATTGTGATATCAAAATGGAAACCGGTGAACTGATTGTAAATGAACGAATAGACAGGGAAGAGCTTTGCGGGCAAAAGCCATCTTGTGCTTTAAATTTTGAACTTTTACTTGAAACGCCTTTGGAATTACATCGTATTATTGTGGAAATTCAGGATATCAATGACAACGCACCAGAGTTTTCCAATGATTTTATAAAACTAGAAATAAGAGAATCTGCAGTTAGAGGAGCTCGCTTCTCAGTGGATGAGGCCCACGACCCGGACATAGGAATCAATTCGGTGAAGAGCTACGCGCTGGCCGCAAATGACCATTTTGTGTTGGCTGTACACACGAGCGCTGACGGGGGTAAATACTGTGAGATAGTATTAGAAAACGAACTGGACCGCGAAAAGCAGGCAGAGGTTTCCTTAACCCTGACTGCATACGATGGGGGCACACCACAGCGCTCTGGTACTGCAGTTATCCAAGTCACGGTGCTGGACGCCAATGACAATGTGCCCGTGTTTACACAGGCCGTCTATAAAGTCAATCTGGATGAAAACTCTCCCTTGGATACAGTTGTAGTCCAAGTAACTGCGAACGATGAAGACGAGGGAGCAAATGGGGAAGTAACATATGAAATTAGCCACATTTCAGGCAAAGACAAAACTTCGTTTGGTATAGATCCGATTAGCGGTGAAATTAAGGTGAAAGGACCTTTAGATTTTGAGGAATCTTCCTTCTTTGAAATCCGTATCAAAGCCAAAGACGGAGCTGGGCAGGCAGCTCATTGCAAAGTTCTCGTGGAAGTTGGAGATGTCAACGATAATGCTCCAAAAATGTTTATCAATTCTTTGAACACACCTATTGCTGAAAACTCGCCACCCGGCACAGAGGTTGCCATCATAAACATTCAAGACAAAGACTCTGATGTCAACAATAAAGTCGTGTGCTCCATTCAACAAGACGTTCCTTTCAAGTTAATACCTTCTGTTAAAAATTTTTACTCCTTGGTGACTGAAGGGGAACTGGATCGTGAAGTAGTTTCAGAATACAACTTCACAATTATCGTTACAGACGAGGGCTCGCCGCCTCTTTCCGATTCCAAAGCCTTACAGATCTCAATTTCAGATGTGAATGACAATCCACCAGTATTTGATCAGCCATCGTACAGTGCTTTTGTCAGTGAAAATAACACTCCTGGGTCGTCTATTTGTGCTGTAAATGCAAGAGACAATGACTGGAAACAGAACGGCAGTGTTTCCTATTTTCTGTTTCCCAGTGAAGTCGGTGGCCTGCCGACTTCCTCCCTAGTGTCCATTAACCGAGACACTGGGGTGATACATGCGCTCAGATCATTTGATTATGAGCAGTTCAGAGAGTTCAAATTGCAGGTTATAGCCAAAGACAACGGCTCTCCACAGCTCAGTAACAACGTTACTGTGAGTATATTTATATCAGATCAGAATGATAATTCTCCACAGATTTTGTATCCTGTTCAAACGGGGAAAACTTTTATTACGGAGATGGTTCCCAGATTTGCTCACGCGAGGTCCCTGGTTTCCAAAGTAATAGCCGTGGACGCCGACTCTGGACAAAACGCGTGGCTGTCATATCAGATAGTGAAGTCGACTGATCCGGGACTTTTCACTATTGGTCTCCACAATGGAGAAATCAGGACACAGCGGGACATTTCTGAATCTGATCAAATGAAGCAAAACCTTGTTATCTTGGTGAAGGACAATGGAAAACCTTCTCTTTCTTCGACGTGTGCTGTGAATTTACTTATTTCTGATAATATATTGGATTACACTTCAGCAGTGAAAGGTCACAGTACAGAATCCGAGAATGTTTCGAACATGACCGCGTATTTGGTTATCGCATTGGCTGCAGTTTCTTTCCTTTTCCTTATCTTTATAATAAGTATACTGGCAGTCAGGTTTTGCCGGGGAGAGAAGCCCAGGATGTTTCTTGACAGTGC